CTGAGTATAATGTAGCATGATATAGCATATACTACAGGCTTGTTCTTCACTAGTAGGTCTTGGTTGAATACAGGGGGATGGGGTTGGTGTTATTGCATTCCGGCACGAATGCCGGAAACAATAACAACAACGTCGTGACCGGAATCTTCTTCCGGTCCGTAAAATACTGGAACTGCATGGAGATGCTGGGGAATATGCTTGAAACTGAGTATAATGTAGCATGATATAGCATATACTCCAGACTTGTTGTTCTTCACTAGGTCTTGGTTGAATACTGGGGGATGGGGTTGGTTATTGCTCTTCGGCACGAATACCGGAAACAACTTCAACACCGGAAGATACCACTCGGTGGTGCTTCCGGAGGAACAGGGGATCCAGCTGGGAAAAACCACCAACAGCTGGGGGATATCGATAGACTTGGAATAGGCTTGGTTACATTGCTTGGTTGCTTGAATGGAGCCAAGGAGGAGGATTTTCCCCTTCCGAAGGGGGTGTCACCATGGTTCGGAAGTCAGAAGGAGCCTGTCAGGTAGGATTGTACGTAGGAATCAGTAGGAATTCTAGGTGATAATTTTCATAAGCGAAGTGTAATTTCGTGCGTTTGAAAAAATTCGATTTGAAAATTATGAAGGCACAGCTGGTTTAGTGAAAATCCCAAAGTTCCCGCCACTAATGGAATTTTGTGAAATTGCATGCAATTTATACAGGATTCCAAATTCCAAAAATGGGGGGAAAAATATGTAAGTTGAGCTGGCCGGCGGTGCCATCTGTGCCATCTGTACCACTGAAAGTGATTCCCGAAAACATATCACAGAATATTTTTTCGGGAATGACCCATTCTCTGTATTTTTACATGGTGAAATGATGGGGGCAATTCCCGTTCATACAAAGAGAGGAAACAAAGAGAATATTGCTTCTCCTTGTTTAATCTCTTTGATTTGTCAATTTTTTTACAAAGAGAAACAAAGATAATATTGCCTGGGCAATTCTCTCTTTGTTTCTCTTTGTTTAAACACGAAAAAAACCTATGGGAAACCCTGATCTTGGTTGGTGTCTGTCTTCCTTAAAAAGTAACGGAGGGCCCTGTTAAATCCACAAGAAGTGCGCGCGAATATTGAAAACGCGCGATCGGGGCTCTCCTGGGCTCTTCCTTGAGTTTTTCTGATCATTCGTGGTTCAAGTCGCTTTTGCTCAATCACTTTTTGACCCAGTCGAACAGGAAACTCAGTCGCCGAAAACCGGATTCAGCATGGGACTCGTTGAAGAGTCTCCATGAAAACTAATCATCATATCATTCATTAAAATAAAGGGAAATGTCGATATGTTTAGTTTCCTTTGCCCTTTTGACTTCAGATGCGTTGCGTTTATGAATTTAGTCGCGGAATAGGTTAATTTAATACGACCCTGCAAACGTGTAAGGACAAAACTACACGAAAGATAGGCATCCAAATCTTGTTCAAAACTTTCTTCGCTATCGAATATCATCGGCGGTGCGATGCCAGCAGTATGCAATCGCTACCCCTGCAAAGAAATGAAGCGGAGCGTGATAACGACATCGAAATACCATACTACATTCAGCATTATAACCCATAATTCAAGAAAACATCTCTCGAAATAGGCATCACAACAAACAACAGCTACAAAGCACAAGTAATTTCAAACAACCGGCCGTATTTTTATCGATCATACCATTACGATCACAACCATGCCATCCCAATCCGCTCCCACTAGATTGGCATCGTTTCTGACGCTCCTTCCTCTCCTTTCCTTCGGTGTTGCAGCATCAGGAGAATGCCAGAACGAAAATGAACAACCATTGGAATTCCGATTTTTTACGGACAACAACTCGTGGAAAGACAACGGCTGGACCCTAGAGTGCACTGAACATGGGGAGGGCTCCTCCCCAAAGCTCCTCTGGCAGACCCCCATTGGATCTCTCGAGCAACAAGAGAGCACAGAGGTCATCCGCCAATCGGCCTGCGTTCCCAACTCTTCCACATGTACCTTGCACATCTACGATGCCAGCGGAAATGGGCTTACGGGAGGTAACAGCGACAATGACTTTACCGGTTGGTTTGCTTTCTTGCAYGGCGCGACTACCGTTGGAACCTACAAGAACCTCGAAAATCCGTCCTTTTCTGAGTTGACCTATTGTGTTGGGCCAAAGTGCGACAAGGCGCCCCAAGAGAAACAGATCAACGACGAGGATTGCCAAGACGTTGTTTACCTGGCCATGCAGCTTGACAACAAACCACAGGACACCACCTACCAGCTGGTATGCGGAAGTGATGAAACCGTGGTGTGGAATGGCTCTGGCTTCACCGAAGCTGGTGCATATGTCGAGGAAGAAACCTGCCTCCCAAAGGATGTCTGCTGTCGTTTCGTCGTCACCGACGAGGACACCCAGGGACTTACCTCTTCGATCGACACCAGCGATCCCTCACTGTCCGACGGTACCAAAGCCGAAGGATTTATCTATCTCGAGCGCAACTTTGTGCCTCTTCTCGAATACGATGGATCGACCGGAACTGAATTCAAGATTCTATCCAAGACATTTGGAAGCTGCAGTTCCGAGAAGACCAGCATTCTCGACCAAGAAGAATCAGTGGAACAAAATACCGAGGAATTCATCAAACAAAAACCCAACGATATCCCCGTTGTTCCTTCAGATGAAGATGCAGATGGCAAAGAGCAAGGCGGAGACAGCACCACATTGGGTAACCCCACCAAGATTGCTGAGGAAGACATCAACGAGCACACTGGGGAGAGAGAAAGTAGCGACGGCGAGTCCTCTATCGAGCAATACCTAAACCAATTTTACAAGGAGAAAGAACAACACACTCAGGAGGAAGCCACCCAAAAAGTAGACAACCAAGATAAGGATGTTACTGCAGCCGAAGAATACCTCACCGAATTCTTTGCCGAACGGGTGAAGTCAGATGAAGAGACCCAACCACCGCAACAGGAACCACAGCAAAAGGAGCAGGTTACCGCCCCAGAAGATGCCAGCAGCGATGTGGACAGCGCTGATGCGTTTGTCGACTACGAGAACTTTCAGTACGAGCCTTTCACGGACGATTCATTAGTGAGCAACGACTATGGCGACGACTTTACAGACGACCTCTTYGACGATCAACTCTTTACAGACGACGTCGAAATCTGGAACACTGAACCACCTACTAAAGGTCGCAACCCATGGGATCTCTACGATGACGTCCTCAAGGATGACGACCAAAGTTGGGCCGAAGTAGACGACATCGAGGAAGATCTCGCTTGGACAAAGGAGCAATTGTCGGAACTCGAAAAGCTGGTGCACAAAGCCGATGAGTCCCTACCCATTCAACAAGAAGACGAAGGATTGAGCTTGGGAGCCAAGATTGGAGTCGGCGTCGCCATTCCTCTCCTCATCCTTTGGTCGGTCGCCCTCGTCCTGTATTTCTTCCGAGAGCGCCTGATGGAACGATTCGGTGAAACCACGGATGACGAGGTCCTCGAAAAGGCAAGCACAGGCAGCGAAGATACCTACAGTCAGGACGACATCCGAAGCGTTTCGTCCCTGGGGGAAGCCGTTTAATAGCGACATTCGACGAGAACAACAATAACTGCACAACCAGATCGCAGTGCGTGTTTTGCCCTCCGCAATGCATAGCAACAAACACATGTACCATAGAGAGAGTGACACCTGCAAATTACGTAATGAAATTAATAAACGCCTTTACCAAAGGTTATAATAATATATGTACAAGATATGCTCATAGAGATTTTGACTACATTTCCGAAAACTGTTAAAGATCCCGTGACGAATAGTGTTTTATCGTCAAATCGTTTTGCTTGCCCTTGTACATATATGAATTTGTTCTTCTGCATCACCATTTTGTTGTCAATCGTACCTAAAACTCACCCTTCGAATGGATTGTCGGTCCAGGAGTTAGACTCCTGYAATTGTTTGAATTCCTTGACACGTGCTTCCGCTCAGAGGCCTTTCATTGTTGGAAGCAATCTTCATGTTTCCTTTGCTTTGGATGTTTTGGTGCTTTCGTTATTATAAACGGCGGCAACAGGGTGTAATGACAATGATTCATTCGTAGCATCGGATCTCGAAGAAATTATAGGAAATTTTCTGCTGCGTTCTTTGAAACGAGCCGTTCTATTGCTTCCAGGAAAAGCTAGTCGTTTTCGCAGTTTTTGCCTCCGTTGAAAGTCCCATCTCTTCTTGTCCAGGGCCTCCGCGAACGCCTTGGATTCAGCATTGCTTCTGTTGCGGTCCAAAGCGGCACCGGTAAGAAAAACGGCTTCGGGGATTCCAAGGTCTGACCACGCGTTATTGGTGGCATTCGAAAGAGTCCCGGTTTCGTCGAGCGTAAACCCACTCGTCAATCTGAAGAGAGTGATCGATTGGAGGCCGACAACACCAATAATCCCGGACAACCACACGTAGCGGTAAGTCGACCGCCAAATCGTCGGAGTAGTATGGGTATTATTGTTCGATGTTGTGGCTTCACTTCTGTTGTTGCTTCTGTGATTTGGATCATCGCTCGAAGACGAAGTTGTTCTCACTGCCGTTTTCATTGCCAAACAGGCCTAAGGGTACTGTTGCKACCTGCAGAAGCCTTAATTAGTGCCGGCTGAATGAAACTCTAACGGAGACAGCGGTCCCAGAACTGACAACTCATCGAAGAACAGGCGAGAGCCAGCGATAGAACACAGAAGATTTGGTTCTATCTGTTCCAGTGATACGGAGTGTATGTACGGCAGCGTGGACACAATAGAGTAGACAATAGTAATGAGCGGAATATTGACATGGGTGTGGCCACGGTGACAGGCTATGGAATAGGAAGATGTTGCATGTGCTTTCTAATGTGTTTCGGTTGTTACCCTCGATAACTTGCTGATGAGAAAGGTAACTACGAACAAATAATTCTGGTCCTTGAGATCAAGGCAGACTTGGTCTCTGAGCGTGGATTAACTCCTATTAACCCCTAAATCTACTAAGGTTCGACTTCAAAAGGTGTGGTCAAAACCGAAACTACACTACTAGGCCCTCGTACTTACGTAGATACGGTACTGAATCATATTACTATCAAAGTACGTACGGTACGTACTGGTTCGTGCTGCGTGCAGTGCGTCTGTGTCGAACATAACATGGTACGTACTGTACTTAGTACTACTAGTATCTTTTCTCAGTGTCGTACGCACCGCCATGCTAGTACCGTACCTTACATTGCTCCGTACCTAGAAAGTACAGTACATTACAGGGGTCATACATGTGACCCCTGCCTGGCCGCTGGCTCCGTAGAAGTACCGCGGGAAATCCTACTGATGTGGTTGTAATGAAAGAGATCTTTTTTCACCCCCAAAACGAAAATCGACGCGTGGTAAATTTAGGTGTCGATGTCAAGCTCTTCGAAGAACATCCTTTACAAGAGGCATTTTTACCCTCTTCGTTTCTCTCTACCTCCCGTCACAATATTCAAAAAGTGTTCTCATATTCAATTCCTTCACACGAAAGTAACAACTCCGCTATCAAAATACGACAAAAATGAGGCTGGTAACCTCCRGTTTCTTACGGTTGCCCTCTGGTGGCAACAGAGGTRCCCGAACCGCAGCAATGGTCGTCGCACGGGCATGGATGGTTCTTTTCGTGTTCTTTCTTTCGACAACCACTACGACGAACCGATTCGCGTCGGCCTCAACTCGCAATCCGTTGTTTTCCTCCAATGTCGTGACGCTCGATTCCTCGAATTGGAAAGAAACCGTGGTGGACAATCCGCACCTTGTGTTGGTCAACATCTGCCGAAAGGGGTGAGGATACTGCCAGCTTCTCCAGCCGTAAGTTTTGGATGCGTGTTGCTGTTGCTGTTTCTGCCAATGAGTTCCTTTTGCTGGTTTCGATCCATTCACCTTTGTTCTTGCATGCAATTCACACAAATAATACAATGTATTGCGTTCCTGTATTTTATGATCCTCCATGTTCATCTTTCCGCCCCGATCCCTCGTTTCGTCTTTGTATTCGAAAACAAAAAGAGAATGGGAGAAGCTGGCGGCTTCGGTCAAGGGTATGGTCACCATTGCCTATTGGGACACGGAGGGCGGATCCCGGCCTCCCAGGCTGTTGGGCGAGTACAAGGGTACGCCGACCATTAAGCTYTTCAAACCCAAGCGCAGACAGCGCAAGAAGGGTTCCAGTGCGGAAAAGGACGTAGTGGAATATCAACACGGGGAACGCAACGCAAAAGACATGCGCAAGTTCCTCGAGTACCAGCTTCCCAGCTTTRTCGAGCGGGTCAAGTTCGGTCCCGACGACCTCGCAAAGGCCCGATCCAAGGCTGACAAGTACGGGCTCCCCGTGGCAGTGCTCTTCACCAGCAAAGCAAGCACTTCCACCACGGTGAAGTGGCTTTCTGTGGAGTTCCGCCGCCGGATGCTGCTGGTGGAGGTCCCACCCACGGAGAAGAACAAGGGTATTCGTGAGGCACTCCTAGAAGAATTTTCTGCAGGAACCTCTGCCGACGATAGCAACAGCCTTCCGGCCCTCTACGTCATTCCACCCCAGGAGGGACCACTCTCGTCCGAGACCGACAAGGGCACGCTACAAATTTACGAAGGCGAAAGCTTCAACCGCCGAAAGTTGCAAAGTTTCTTCGACAAAACCGTCCTGAAGAAGCCTGTCTTGGAACCCCTTGTCAAACCTGAAGAAGACCCGCAACCAAAAAAGAAAGAGAGTGTTGGAGGGGACGAATTCTAAATCACCCATAAAGCCCATAATCCCCAAGACAATTGCGTGACGGCTCTTTTTTGTTTGCAAAGTTGTGCTCGCTTGTTATTGCTCGCAAACGTTTTCCTACCTATGCCTTGATTGAGGAATGACGATCCTGCAACCATCGTTCTGTTCAMATCCTTTACAATACGAGGCGGATCTGAGACACATCGAGGCAGTGTTAGGTAAAGCCTACGCGAGCAATGSTTCAACGGATAGGCTAGCAAACGATCAGTGTAAGACGGAATTGTACTAAGGAATGATGGATATCATTAGCGAGGGATCAATGGAATGAGCGATCCATTCTGATGGTTCCAGTGAAATGATGTAAGAAAGAGGAACTTAGCGATCAAAATTTAAATATCAATGATTTCGTTCATTTTAGATTTATCTGGATAACAGCAGTTCAATCAACCTCGTACTTCGTCCTGACTAGTGGGGCAAGACTAAGTGTATCGAACAGAGCTATCGCACGTCAGCAAGCAAGCGAAGACATGTCCAAGACACGTGAAATGCACTGCTAGTTCAGAAAGATTTCAAGGCCATCGTTGCCTACATTGGTCCTTCGTCCTTTGGCGCCGTATAGGCCTTATGATGTTCTCAGCGGCAATATTCCATTTCCTTGGTAGCTTTGGGTTGTGTTGTCGTGAAAACCTAGAAGTATGAGGAAAAAATTTGAAAATTGTTGGAAACTTATTGAATCGAAACATGCAAGATAAAAGATACTCGTCCGACGACTGTTATGAAAAAGTCCATACCGCCGGGCAAAACGCCCTAAGTGGCGGTTTTCGATTTTGCAAGACGTTTTGTATAACGGGGGCCATTGAGACCTTTCGGTCTCGGCACAACGCATAGGTGATTGCAGAAGTCTTGCGCAGGTTTCAAATCGCACAGCGTAGCAAAGCTGTGTGTTGTGCTGTAATAAGGCGTACCTTGTCTAGCTGTTCCTGTGTGTGGTTATGGTATCCATTATTTCACTTGAGTCTTGATGATTGGTTTCTTCCTTCGTGCATTCATCATCGTGTTGATCGGTGGAATTCTAATCGACACCGATCGTGGCTGTCGCTTGAGACGAACGAATAGACAGTAGTCGCAACGAACTATTGAATGACTTGGTCATGATTGAAGGCAAGTTTATGGGCAAGAACGTTCATTCACCCATACTTATGGTGACTTCGCTGGTGTCTACCGGCAATTTACTTATTCATTCGTAGCAAAAAAGCGATTTGCATATCTTTTAGATCACCTAGGTGTCGATAATGCARGGAAACGAGTCCATGTTGAGAAACCTACTACAGCAGCCGGTCGCTTCTGGATTAAAATGTCCACCAAACTCAATACTCCTACCAGATATGATATTGTGTGGTCTGTAATCTATCACACAATGATCCAATAGTATTCAGAACATCACRAGATCAAAATTGATGTTTTTGAATGGATGAAATCTTCTGCAGGTGTCATGGATGCTGTATCGTACCATACGTATGTTCTGTAGTACAGGCGGCAGGGATCATGCCATGTTCCCTCACAAGCCAACGGTGGTACGTACGAGTACTATTGTGACTCGTACCGACCCCTGCCCTGCCGGCCCTGGCCTGAGTACAAGCATAGGAACCTACGACAGGACTGTACGTACAGTTCAGTGCCGTGTTTGTGTACTCGCTCTACCGTATGTACCGTTACTCGTACCTATGTGTTCTGTGTCATCTTCCAAAAAATCATTTGACGGGATGACGGAGTGTCTGTCTGTCTATCCGAAGTTGTGCCACCGCTAGCTACCGACCGGTCGGTATTATTTTTCGTATTTTGGTACTAGTTGTCAGATTTTTTTCAAAAACCTGTAAAAATAATATTTTGACGTGCTTTCCTCGAAAAGGTTCTGAGCCATGATGCGGATCCAAATCACGAACACCAACCAAAAGCATCAAAACGTTTCGATGTTACTTTCTTTCACTGTAATTCCATTTCTTTCGAAACATGTACCGGCCGGTATGAAACTGATTTTCTTGTTGGTGGTAAGTAAGCATCAGTATCTCGTACAGCTCTACGGCATTTACAGTAAGACTGAAATACGCCGCGCTTTGTGTTGCATGTTTCAATTGAGTTCAATTGACTTCGATTCAATTCCATCTCCCGGTACGATACAATACACCAAGACTATTATTGGAGGCTACCATAAAAAAGCACAAATCACTGCAGCTTTTGAAGCAGTGTCAAAATTGAATTTAACGAAGCAAACAATCCGCATTATCTCCAACATCGAGAAGTCGTGAATACCTGATTAGCTACCCCTCGCACCAACAGTCCGCGGCGCTACATCCGAGTCAAAGAGAAAAAARTTCGCTACGAATCCATTCCATTCCTTAGAACAAATACGCACCCTTAAATACAAGCGAAATWAACAACAATGGCAACCCGTTGCGCATTCGAAAACTCCCCCGAGGTTGGTGTCTTCAGTGCCCTCACAAATTCATATGCCCTGGCCGGAATCGGGGGGTCGGAGAATTTCTACTCAACCCTGGAAGCCGAGCTGATTGAGCACATCCCGGTCATCCACGCTACGATCGGTGGGGGACGGTATGTAGGGCGYACCACTGCAGGAAACGTCCGGGGCCTGCTCGTCCCCAACACCACCACGGACCAGGAATTGCAGCACCTCCGAAACTCCCTGCCCGACAAGGTTGTCGTCCAGCGCGTCGAGGAACGATTGTCGGCCCTGGGAAACGTCATCTGCACCAACGACCATGTCGCACTCATACACCCCGACACGGACCGGGAAACGGAGGAGATTATCTCCGATGTACTGGGCGTTGAGGTCTTTCGACAGACCGTCGGGGGGCAGGCTCTGGTCGGGACATACATGAACATTTCCAACCAGGGAGGTATGGTCCACCCCCGAACGACCGTCCAGGACATGGAGGAACTCTCGTCGCTGSTGCAGATCCCACTGGTAGCTGGAACCGTCAACCGTGGATCCGACGTCTTGGGTGGGGGACTTGTGGTCAACGATTGGTCCGCCTTTTGTGGGCTAGACACGACCGGGACGGAAATTTCTGTGGTCGAATCCATCTTTAAGCTCCAGCGAAACCGAGGACAGGACCAGTCGATGCAACCGATGGACATTGTGCAGGATATGAGGAGTTCCCTGATCGATCAACTGTCGTAAAATATAATTTTGTATACTGCAATAGTACTATTATTTCTACTACTAAACTATTGGTAGTGCAGTACGCTCTGATACCATGTTATACTTGCAGATACGAATAGCAGTACTTCTRGTAATCAAAATATGAAGCCGTCCTAGAAAAAGTAACTAACCCACTTTATAGAAGTAAAATAGTCAGCGAGCAACAAGTCAGAGTGTGCCATACAACCGGTGACAAGAAAGAGTAGGATTGATGCCCAAAACAACATCACATGTTTCCATATAACTATCACAACACCAGTAGTACTACTAGTATTAATATTGTCTCTTGACAGATTCTTGCTCCAATCAACAGTGATGCAATGATTTAGTAGTATTGCATAATTCTAGTTTACTGCAAGAAGTACCAACTTTCACACTTATTTACTTCTCTTTTGGCATCTTCTTCATGATGTACTGTACTACTACTAGTACTAGTGTAGTAGTATTATGTATCTTAGTGGTGGCAYATCATGTACTAGTGACAGCATGATGATGATGCCTGCTGGTGCCTACTAAAAAGAAGAAGAAGAAAGGATAAGGACAAATATAAAGAAAAATAGGAGGATACCCACCAGCAGAAGGACGAGAATGATAACTGCAGGAGCATAGTAGTACTAGTAGGTTGTCATTCAGCAGACTAATAATATAAGTAGTACTAATAGTAGTACTACCAGTAGTAGCACCACCAGCAGTACTAGTAGTAGCAGTACCACCACAACCAGAATCTTTTTTATATTGGTAGCAGACTACAGTATGAAAAGTTCTAGTAGTACTACTACTATCATAGTACTAGTAAYATTATTACTAGTAGTACTACTACTAGTAGCTAGTGCAATTGCACAGCACATTGTTTACATCTACTATATTTAGGGGAGCCAAGGAATCATCATACAGACACTGATCATAATAGTCCTTGTTAGTAGTGCCAACAAGAAGGGTCATCATCTGCAATACTACTCCTACTGTCAGGAGGAAAAGTATACAATGACAATGGAGCAAGAATTAGATAGTATGGATGGAAGAACCAGCAGTAGAGACACAACTGCAGCATGGGGAAACACACTAAAGATGGTGAATACTAGTACTATGGGGAKAGAGAAAATCAGCACTGAGACAAGAGGAGAGCCTGAAGCCAACTTCTTGTAGGAGGAGGCTTGTGCTGGTAGGCAAACTTTCTCTCTTTATGTTCTTGTTTGGGGAAAAACTGAAACCAGAGACAAGCTGAGATTAGTACTACTACTACTACCATCACCAGTCAGAGAAGTGGCACAGAACAACAACATCAATGAAATATCAGCAGTGCTACTAGTTTCTGCTGCTTCTGCTGCAACTGCTACTACTAGTACTACTAGCAGTATTAGGTTTAAAAATTGGATAAACTTAAGTACTAGTACTAGTAGTACTAGTAGTAGAACTCAATGTATCTTGTTGTTGGGGATAGGAGGGTCTGGGTTGTTGTTGTATGCTGTTGTGAATCTTGGAGGGTGCAAATAATTGCATCACAAGGGATGAGACTGAAAAGAAAGTGCTGGAGCATCATGCAACAAGATCATACTACTACTGCAACGGATACGTACGTACAGTATTAGAAGAATACGTACGGATACGTACGTACTGTATTGAAAGGATACGTACGTACTGGAAAGGAAGCATACGTACGATACGATGCTCCCTCTGAATGGATGGATATACCATTCCTACCTACATATCATAATTTCAATATTCATACACACTTAACACCTACTACTAAGAGTACACGTAATCTCGTGCACAGTAATTACTAAGTGATTTTCGTGTATCGAAATAATCAACCCTTAAGAAAAATAACCAAAATATCACATCGACCATGGTGAAATCAACCAACACACATCGGTCTTGCTTAAGACTTACAAACGACTTCGATCCAGCTCAATTGAAGACAGTCTCGATGACAGTGAATCTTCGAAACCCAGCAA